ACCAGGCCCGGATCCAGAGGGGGTGGCGATGTGGCGATCGCCACCCCCAAAGCACAACATTTTTTAAAGATCTTCAATTTCTCCAAACGGCAACAGGCAGTTAGTCGATATTAATGCAAGTCCCCCTTCCTAACCTACACCTTACGTCATCAAAAAAATAACAACAACAACAACAACAACAACAATAATAATAATAATAATAATAATGATAAAGAAGTGCTTTGCGCCACCCCCAAAACCAGTCTCTGGATCCGGGCCTGCTGTCAACTGTCCATGTCCCATTGGCCAGTAAGACTCGTTAAAGTACGGATCATTGGGGAAAGATTTGGTTAGTGCTCTATCTCCATGTCTGAATAACTGAAACAGAATTAACATGTCCCGATTTGCCCTTAAAAATATCTCAACTCATGTTTGATTACTAAAATCAGGCCTATCCTAACAACTAAAGTGATGTTAGGCCTCATATTTAACATATCTGAATTTATGATTGTCTTAGTTCATTTAGAAATAGCAAAATTGGTTACAGGTATAAATGAAAAAACGAAAAAAATCTTGTATACAGGGTACAAGATTTTTTTCGTTTTTTTCCAAAAACTGCCAATATATCCATGAAGATGCATTTTTTTGAAAAAAAAGTTTCACATAAAAGTTATTCAACATAGAATTTCCTACAAAATTGCTCCTACGAAAATTTTGATTTTCCCAATAGTTTTCCCGTAAATTTTTAAAATGAACTACAGATTATGTTGGAATTATTGTTTTGGTGCCTAAATAATGGTCAATTCATTTTAAAATAACAAAAGTGAATTAAAGAAAAGAAAATTGCAGAAAATTCTTGGAAAATCTTATATAGTTTTCCAACGTTTGAATATTTATTAGCTTCAAACGTATCATTTTGTAGATTTTCGTGGGTGCTCGTTACGAATTAATTATGCACTTTTTAATATTTTCCAGAAAAATCCGTTTTCTTTGAAATTTGTAGTATAGTGAAAATGAAAATTTAAATTTCATGACAATAGGAAATAAATTTTCTGGAGCTGAGTATAATAAAAAAAATTATGTCAATATAATTTTTTTTATAATAATTAAAAAAACAACTATTTTTATTTATTATTTTTAATAATTTTTTATGGACCTTCACATCTAGTTTTCTTATGTAAAACTGCTTCATCGCTTTCGCAAAAAATTTCGAAGAAAACAGATTCAGAAAAACTCATAATAAATTAATTTCAGAAAGTTTTACATTGATGCCTCATGTAATAGCTAAAAGTTTACCATTTTATGTATGGAGTTTACGTTAATGAACAGCCTGACCGCAGGAGAAGGAGCGTTGGGCCCGCACATGTGCGCCAACGTCGTTCGCGAGGCGAGATTTTTTACTTGAACGTTTAAATTCCGTTCAAAAATCTCGTGCGCGAGGGCAGCAGTCAAGCTCGTGCGCGGGCTCAGCGCTCCTCCCACATGAAGGCTGTTGTCTAACTATAAACAAGGTTACTATAAAAAAATTCGTCACCGCCATCTTGACGGTGAAAACTTGATTAAATATAGAACCTATAGCTTTGCTCTCTCATCATCGTCTCCTGTAGAGAGATACACTGAAATTGTTAATTTCATCACTGGATGGCGGGACAATATTTACAAATACCGAAAAATATTGTGTTCTCTGTAGAGAAGTATTTAGTGCACGTTTTCAATAATTTTATACAACTATGGAACGCAATACAATTATTAATTTTTTGTCACCACCAAGACAAACAGTAGGTATATTAATATTTTTATAATTTCAATGACTGATTTCTTGGTTTTTATGTAACACTTGGGGGGTACCATATGACTCACAGACCACCTAGACTGGCCGTATCTAATTCCAATGCACGGGTACCAGTAAATGCAAAACCCGGGGAAGTGGAGTGTGGAAGGCAATCTGATCGCGCGCATCTTTAAGCAGATCCGGAATAAGTAATATTTTTATTACATATTAAATATTATATTGCATCTTATGACAAATATTCAATTTTAAGTTTGTAATTCAGAAAATAGTATATTTTAGTGTCATATTAAATAAAACTACAAAATAATTTAAATATATTTATTGTCCTCTAAATAATATTAATTTATTTAATATTTGCCTTTTCGTAGATTTTACGGAATTAAATAATTTGACTTCATGATTTATTCGTACATCGATATACTTTTCACATTCAGCCCTTATAAGTTCTATTAAATGATTACAATTGTTAGACAAATTATCAAATTGATGTTCATGCAAATTTTCAAATATGTTCACATTCAGAAAGTTTTTTAATACATGATAAACAATTTTATTTTTCTGTAGCCTAGGTGTCCTGCTTTCATCATTTAATCATTTAAAAATTTTATTAATTTTTGTTTCTGAGCATATTACTACGACATCTCGATGGAAACGTCAAACAACCACGATTTTTAATAAAAATTAATTGACTGTACGAATACTGAATCTGAAATTAGTTTTGTTTGAGATTTTTTTAATTGAAAAAAATATTTTATTAATTTTCAGTTATCTCGAAATGACGGGAATTGGTAAAGTTTCATAAAAACTTGAGACTCACATAAAGTAAATAATTACTAAAAATATTTTACAGTAATTCATTCATTATTTTATAATAACAATATCACGTTAATCACTACACTATGTGGGCGAACAAAATTATAAAGCTAACCCTGGAAACTTGTGACGT